TGTGGTTTTGATTTGTATACCCCTGATGATTAGTGATATTGAGCACTTTTACACATACCTGTTGGCCACTTGTGTGTGTCTTTGGAAAATAGTCTGTTCAGATCCTTTACCCATTTTTTCAAATGAGTTTTTTGTTGTTGTTTTTTTTCTTTTTTGCTTTTGAGTTATAGGAGTTCCTTATATATTTTGGATATTAACCCTTTAATGGATATGTGGTTGCAAATATTTTCTCCCATTCCATAGGTTGTGTTTTCATTTTGTTGTTGGTTTCCCTTCCTGTACAGAAACTTTTTAGTTTGATGTAGTCCTGCTTATTTATTTTGGCTTTTGTTGCCTTTGCTTTTGGTGTCAAATCCAAGATTTTTGATTACTGATTCAGTCTCTTTACCAGTAATTAGTCTGTTCACTTTTCTAATTCTTCATGATTCAGTCATAGTAGGTTGCACGTTTCTAGGAATCTATCCATTTCTTCTTATGTTATCTAACTTGTTGGCATTTAATTGTTTATAGTAGCTTTTTATGATTCTTAGTACTTCTCAGTTTTCTGTAGTAATGTCTTTCATTTCTGACTTTGTCTTTTTTTCCCTTAGTCTAGCTAATGGTTTGTCTGGGGGGTTTTGTTTGTTTTTTTAAAACAGTTCTTAGCTTCTGTGATCTTTTAAATCATCTTTCTAGTTTCTATTTCATTTATTTCTGTTTTAATCTTTATTTTCTTCCTACTACTAACTTTGGGCTTAGTTTGTTCTTCTAGTCCCTTGAGGTGTATAGTCAGGTTGTTTATTTGAGATCTTTTTTCTTAATGTAAGACTTTAAACTTACCTAGTAGAACTGCTTTTGCTGCATCCCATAAATTCAGGTATATTGTGTTTCCATTTTCATTTTATCAGATTCTTTATTTAATTTTCCTTTTGATTTCTTTTATGACCCTTGGTTGTTCAGAATCATGTTGTTTAATCCCACATATTTGTGAATTTTCCAGTTTTTCTCTTATATTGATTTCTAATTTTATAACATTGAAGTTGGAAAATACGCTTGATATGATTTCAGTCTTTTTAAATTTATTAAGACTTGTTTTATGGCCTAACATATGATCTATCTGGAAGAATGTTCCATGTACACTTGAGAAAAATATGTATTCTTCTGCCAGTGGATAAAATGTTCTGTGTATGTGTATTAATTCCATCTGATGTAACTTGTTGTTTAAGTCCAGTGTGTCCTTGTTGATTTTCTGTTTGGATGATCTGTCCATTATTGGAAGTGGCTTATCAAAATCCACTACTATTATTGTATTTCTGCCTATTTCTCACTTCAAAATGTTAATATTTGCTTTATATATATTTAGGTGCTCCAGTGTTGAGTGCATAAATCATTTAAATTGTTATGTCCTCTTGATTGACTTTTTTATCATGATATAATGTCTCATCATAGTTTTATATAGGCTTAATGTCTATATTGTCTGATATAAATGTAGCTACCCCTGCTCTCCTTACAATCCAAACTACCTGTTTGCATAGAATATCTTCTCCATCCCACCACTTTCAGTCTATGTGTGTCCTTAAAGCTGGAGTGAGCCTCTCATTGAAAGCATATAGTCAGGTCTTATCCATTCAGCTACTCTGTGTTTTTTGAATGAAGGATTTAATATATGTACATTTAAAGTAATTATTAATAGGTGTTGGCTTGCTATTTTGCCATTTTGTTAATTATTTTCTAACTTTTTTGTACTTTCTTTTTTTTCCCCTTTCTTCCTCTCTTGAATTCTTTTGATTATATGTATTGTGCTGTGATTTATATTTTGTATACTTACTGTAAGTTTATGCTTTGTGGTTACCATAAGGCTTATATAAAACATTTTGTAGTCATAACAGTCTATTTTAAGCTGATAACTTTGAATGCATAGAAAAACTCTACATTTTTACACTTCTGCCACCATATTTGTGTTACTGTCACAATTTACATCTTTTTATATTGTGTATCAAGTTATTTAGTTGTTTTTAATTCTTTTATCTTGTACTAGAGTTTTAAGTGAATCGCCATTACAATACCGAGTATTCTGAATTTAACAATATATTTACCTTTATTAGCAGGTTTATACTTTAATGTATTTTCATATTACTGATTAGAGAACACTGTTCCTGGGTAGAATATTCTTAATTGGCAATTTTTTCTTTCATCACTTGAATATAACATCCCTTTTCTCTGGCCTGCAAAGTTTCTGCTGAAAAATCCACTGATGGTTTTGTACTATATATAAGTTACTTTTCTCTAGTGTTTTTAAGATTCTTTGTCTTTAATTTTGGATAATTTAAAGTGTCTTTGTGTGTATCTCTTTAGATTCATCTTATTTGATACTTTTTGGGCTTCCTGAACCTGTATATCTGTTTCATCAAGGTTAGGGAAGTTTTCAGCCAGTATTTCTCCAAATAAGCTTTGTGCCCTTTTCTCTTTCTGGGACTCCTATAATATATATATTCTCCCTTTGATGATATCCCATTAGTCC